GGAGCCGGGAGCCGACGGCAGACCACCGGAATCGGAAAACGGAAAACGGCCAACGGAAAATGGCGTAGAAGGACGCGGGTGCCCACGGGAGAGCACCGAACCGGAAAACGGAAAACGGAAACCGGAAACCGGAACCGGAAAACGGAAACCGGAAAACGCAAAGCGGAAAATGGAAAACGGAAAACGGAAACCGGAAACCGTAAAACGGAAACCGGAAAACGGAAAACGGAAAACGGAAAACGGAAAACGGAAAGCGGAAACCGGAAAACGGAAACCGGAAAACGAAAATCGGAGGAGGAGGAGGAGGAAAAGGAGGAGGAGGAGGAGAAAGAGGAAGAGGAGGAGGAGCCTCCCTTCCTCCTCTCTCCCTCTTGCCCCCCCCCCGCCCCTCCTCCCTCCCCGTTCCCTTTGCCAGGCTTCCTCCCTCCCTCCCTCCTGCCTCCCCCCTCGTTGATCCTGCCCTCACCTCCCTGTCTCCCTCCTCGTTTCCTCCTCCTCCTCCTCGTCCCTCTTCCCGAGCGGAGCCGGCGCGCGGGCTGGCCAGACCGAAGGACAACGACGATCTGATTTCAAGAAGCCCCTAAAACGTTCCAAGACTGCTCCAAGAGGCTTCCGAGACCTCCAAAGAGGCCCCCAAGAAGCCAAACTCCTTCAAACACCAAAAGAAAATGCATGATTTTTGCTTTCTCGCCTTTTCGCTTTTGATGGCCATCCGAAGCTTCAAGGTGCATCCAAAATGGCCCAGGAGAGCCCCAGGAGAGGCCCAAGAGAGCCCCAGGACGGCCCCAAGAGCGCCCCAAGAGCGATCCAAGAGAGGTCCAGGAGGCGATTGTCGGTGCTCCCAAGGGGGGAGGCAAATTGAAGCTCACCTTTTTGTGATCGATGTCCTCCAAGATGGCCCCAACAGCGCCCCTAAAGCTCCCAAGAGCGGCCCAGGAGGGCCCCAAGAGGCGCTCAGGCAGCCCGAAGATGCCTCCAAGAGGCTCCCGAGAGACCCTATACGAGGCCCCAAGAGGATCTCCGAGGTACCCAACTCTCCCTCCTTCTCCTCCTTCTCGTCCTCCTCGTCCTCGCCCTACTCCGCCTCCTCCTCCTCCTCCTCCTCCTCCTCCTCCTCCTTCGACGACGACGATTCCTCCTCCATCCTCCCCCTCCTGCGGTATATGACGGCGTCCCCCGCCCTTTGTCCTTCTGCATGCTCCCCCACTTCTCGTATCATCTCAACTCTCCTGGGCATCGTTTCTGGATGGGCTGGTGGGGATATGTGAAGCGTCAACAATAGCAGCGCGTTCATCGATTACCGATGACAAATCCCACCAGTCCTCTGGGCGGAGGTGGTCTACGGCGTTTCCTCTGGTAGCTTTCCAGAAACCCCTCTCCCTACCCTCTCCCCTGGACCTCGCCGCACCCCCTGCAATATTCTGCAAAAGAGGGGTGCAAAGATTCCGTGCTGACCCTGCAACACCCTGCAATACCTTGGAAAACGACCCTGCAAACCAAACCCCTGCAGTACCATGCAATACCCTGCAAACCACCCTGAAATACCCTGCAAAACGACCGCGCGTCTTCTGGGTGGAAGAGATCAGAAGCGGTTCCTCCGCACGCTTTCTAATCCCCGAGCCCGCTGGGCGTGAGTGGTCTAGCAAATTGCCTCTTCCAACTCCCCTGCTTCGCCTTCGGGGAGGGGCCTATCATTTTTTCTCATTCGAATGATACCGGAGAAAAGACCCAATCAGGGCTATAGGGCTAGGGGGCTATAGGGCTATTGAGCTATAGGTCTATAGAGCTATAGGGCTATAGAATTGTAGGGCTGTTAGGCTATTGGGCTATAGTGCTTAGGGCTATAGGGCTATAGGGCACCCCCGGGCACGCCCGGGCACCCGGGCAGCCGGGCCCCCTGGCCCCCTCGGGCACCCCCAGGCACCCGGGCGTGCAGCGAAAATCGGCGACAAACCTAACCTAACCATATGAATCCGCTATGACCCCTACAGAAGCAAGCTCTGATTGAGGAATAAACACCCCCTCCCTGGCCCGACTGGCAGCCAATCTGGATCCATAACGACACCCATGGCAACACCCCCCACAACATCCCTGTCAAAAGCCATACAACATAAACTTTGCCTCTGGAGCCTGGAGCATGCGCGGGCATCCCACGACCACTTAGCATGGGGTCTTGACAAGGACGGCGGCGGTGCCGGCACATTGTTCGCCGCGCGCACACCCGCACACAACAAACCCGCCGTCACTGTGTATGGTTTTTGACAGGGACGGTGGGAGGGTCGACATATTACCCAATGTGGCGCACCTGGTCCGCGTGGCGCAGCTGACATGTGCGGCCCATCTCGCGGGTTTCGCGCACCTGGCTGGCGTTTGCATTGGTTCCCGATAGCTGTCGATGGTGGCCCCTGTCCATGCTGAAACTCGGGTGCTTCTTATGTGTTGGGAGGGCGGGTGGGAACAAGCGAGACGGCTTGTTGCTTGTGGGTAACTTAATCACTGTTCCCTATTAATAAACACCTCCTCCCCCAGGCGACTGGGGGCCAACCCGAGTCCATGCCGACACCCCCCCCACCATCCCTGGTAAAAAACAATATAAAACACACTCTGCCTCCAAATTCGGAACATGCGCAGCCAACCCGATGCGGCCCCCCCCACCATCCCTGTCAAAAAAACGATACAGAGTACACTTGGCGGCGGCGGCGGCTGCGGCGGCTGCGGCGGCGGCGGCGGCGGCGGCCGCGGCGGCTGCGGCGGCGGCGGGCGGCGGCAGCGGCGGCGGCGGCGGCGGCGGCTGCGGCGGCGGCGGCGGTGGCGGCAGCGGCTGCGGCTGCGGCGGCGGTTTGGCAGCGGGGGGGCGGCGGCGGCGGCGGCGGCGGCGGCGGCGGCGGCGGCGCGGCGGCGGCGGCGGCGGCGGCGGGCAGCGGCGCGGCTGCTCCCGGCTGTCTTGGAGTCCAGGGGCAAGCCGGTTGA